AGGGCGAGGGAGAGGGGAGGGGAAAGGGCGAGGGAGAAGGGAGGAGGGGAAAAGGCGAGGGAGGCGAGGGAGAGGGAGGAGGGGAAAGGGCGAGGGAGAGGGAGGAGGGGAAAGGGCGAGGGAGAGGGAGGAGGGGAAAAGGGCGAGGGAGAGGAGGAGGAAAGGGCGAGGGAGAGGAGGAGGGAAAGGGAGGGAGGGAGGGAGGGAGAGGGAGAGGGAGGAGAGAGGGAGAGGGAGAGGGAGAGGGAGAGGGAAGAGAGGAGAGGAGAGAGAGAGAGAGAGAGAGAGAGAGAGAGAGAGAGAGAGAGAGAGAGAGAGAGAGAGAGAGAGAGAGAGAGAGAGAGAGAGGAGGAGAGTTCCCCAAACGCCCTATTCCTCCCCTCGCCAATCTCGGACTGGCGCCTCGAGAGTCCTGTGCAATGACAAATGCCTCCTCGTATCCTCCCCCTCCCCTCTTCCTCCTCCCCCTTCACCCCGAACGCAGCCCATCGCGACGCAAAACATAACATAGCTCCTCTTAAGCGTTACGTAAGCACCCCGCCAGCAGCACCGCCACCAACACCGCGGTCCGAACAGCTGCAACACCAGTTAGTCACTAGGCGGAACACGCACTGCGACAACCGACGCATCACATAATAATAATAAAAAAGGGAAGCGTCTCGCTGGCGACGGCGGCCGAGACTCGATACCGAACACTGGCGTCGGCGGCCAGCGGACCACAAGGCCTGCGACTGCGCGCGGCCCGACGGGAGCCACAAACAGCATGCTAATGGGGGGGGGGGGTGTCATTGGTCTTGTGAGTGGACGTTCGCGTTTCGGGGACGGGGAAGGACGGGTGTCTTGGCGAAGGGCGGCGAGGGCGGTAAGGCTCCTGCAAGCACGGTCCTACGGAAGGACATCGCAGAGAAAGGCATGAGGGCACCAGAGACAAAGGGCATCGCAGAAGATGGCATACGGGCACCCAAACACAAAGGGCATCGCAGCAGAGGGCATGCGGGCACCGAGACACAAAGGCATCGCGGCATCGCGGCACCGCAGCAGCAGCAAGGCGGTGGAGGCCGGGGTACGGCACAGGCAACAGTTGGAATGCGAGGTATGGCGACAGCAGTCCGCCGCTCAGCGGTTTTCAAGGTTAATGTAGGAGCGGCAGCATCAGCAGCAGGCCGGGAGTTGCTCCAGGGCGGTGCTAGCCCGGCCTGGTGGTGGTGGTGGGGAGAGGAGAGTGGTGGTGGGGGTGGTGGGGAGAGGAGAGTGGTGGTGGGGGTGGTGGAGAGACGGGGGAGGGGGCGGTGGCACAGGAGCTCGTGTAGACGGTCCCGGTGCTATCGGTGAGAATGCAGAGGCGCTACGAACGAGAAAGGGTTGATAAGGAACACGAATCCTTCTCAAGTCCAGAAATAACTCCACATACACTATCCATCAGTCCAAGAGATGGGAGAACGAGCGGAGAGCCAATCCCCCCCCCTCTCTCTCTCTCTCTCTCTCTCTCTCTATCCTCTCTCTCTCTCTCTCTCTCTCTCTCTCTCTCTCTCTCTCTCTCTCTCTCACAGCACACACACACTCTCTCACACACACACACACACACAACACACAAACACAAACACACGCACGCCCTCCCTCCTGCCCCCTCCTGCCTCGCTCGCTGAAGATAGCAAAGGTGTATTTACGCTCCCACATCACCTGCAGGCACCACAGGCTGACCCCCTCACCCCCTCCCCCCCTCTCCTCCCCCACCATGACCTTGACTACCTGCAGCTGTGGGCCAAGGAATGGCAGCAGGCAACCCCTCGAGCTCTTATCTCCATCCAGCCCCCTGAGAAATGTTACTTGGTCGAGGGGGAGACACGATAGCCTTCACCTCCTCCTCCTCTCTCTCTCTCTCTCTCTCTCTCTCTCTTCTCTCTCTCTCTCTCTCTCTCTCCTCTCTCTCTCATCTCTCTCTCTCTCTCCTCGCTCTCTCGGCTCTCATCGCCTTTTCGCTCTTTCGCTTCTTTCGCTCTCTCGCCCTCTCAGCATCCGCTACAGGTTGACGGTTCATCGGATCTCACGCTCTCTCTCTCCTCTCTCTCTCTGCGCACATCGATACGCACACAGACGAGTGACTCGGATTACGTACTGCTACGATCTCTCGTACTCTCTCTCTCTCTTCCTCTCTCTCTCTCTCTCTCTCTGCTCGCTCTCTACTCACTCCTCTACCGGAAGTACGCAGACTTGGTCCCGTCGCTCACTCTCTCATCTCTCTCTCTCTCTCTCTCCGGACCTCGCTCTCATCTCTCTCTCTGCTCCTCTCTCTCCTCCTCTCTCTCCTCTCTCTTCATCTTCTTCTCTTTCCGCACTCTCATCTCACTTCTTCTCTCTCTCTCTCGTCTCGCTATCCCCCCCTCTCTCTCGTCCGTACTCCTCTCTCTCTCCTCTCTCCTCCTCTCCTCTGTACTCCACCTCTTCTCTCTCATCCTCCTCCTCGTAGCCTCTCTCTCTCGTCGTCGCCTCCCCCCTCTCTCTCTCTCTCTCTCGCCTCCCCCCCTCTCTCTCTCTCATCTTGTCTCTCGCCTTCCTCTCTCTCGCCCCTCTCGTTTCTCTCGCCCGTCCCTTCCTTCCTCCGCACCTCTCTCTCTCTCTCCGCGACCTCCTTCCTTTCTCGCCACTCCTCCAATACTCAATCCTCGCCCCCCATCTCTCTCTCTCGCCCTCTCTCTCTCCACGCCTCTCTCCCCTCCCCCTTTTCTCTTCTCTCCCCTCCCCTCTCGTTCTACCCCTTCCCTCTCGTCGTCATCTTCCCCCCTGTGCCCTCTCTCCCTGCTTTCCCCCTTCTCTCTCTCAACCCATGACTTCCCCCCTTATCCTCTCTCCCCTCTTCCTCTCTCTACTCTTCCCCCTGTCCCCTCTCCTTTTCCCCCCTTCCCTCTCTCGCACTCTTCCCCCTTCCCTCTCGCACCTCATGTTTCCCCCCTTCTCTCTCTTTCTCTCGCTCACCTCTCCTCTCTCTCTCTCGGTGTGGTGTGCGAATAAATAGGCTCATGCATTAAGGCATAAAAGGAAACCACGCAAGAGGCCACCGGTGAAACCGAGGATACCCCGAGACCAGTTAACAACAAGCAGCGAGTCATTCTCGAGTGATAGAGACAGCGTGACTCCTGAAAAAAAAGACCACCCGCGATAACACTGAACTGCATCGTCCTCCCGAAGCCCGGCGGGAGGAGGTCACGCAGGAGGCCTTGACACCACGCAGGAAGCGCGCATTTCAAGGGACGTCGGTTGGGGGGAGGGTGCAGGGAGGGTCCATGGCCGCTCGATTTTCTCCTCCCAAACCGCACTTTTCCCACCCCCCAAGGACACTTCACAAAGGAAATAGCCCGAAGAGAAAATGAAAAGAAGGCGACCGCGTCGTGCCCAGTCAGCTTCTGCCCGAACACTTGCGCCTCGAGTTCCAAGACAAGCGACACGCAGGTCATGCCCCCCCGGCCAGTGGCCCAGGACGGAGTCCCCGGTGGGGAGCCAAATGTCCCACGCGAGGGAGGACCCAGCGACACAGCTCAGCCAGCTGACGAAATTAAATTCGTAAAAGACTGACTAGCATGGGGGCAAAGCGGCGGACTGTTTGGGCTCTCAGCGCTCTCCTTCTCAGTCTTCTACGGTGTTTATCCGTCGCCACGTCTACGTCACGGGGCTTATTCTCACTCCTCAGAAGGAGACATTCAAAGCCGACTCGTGCATTTCTAATACCCATCCCTGAATGCTCTCCTGCAGTCTTGTCCTTCACCTTACGCCGTTCCCCGCACGGGGCCTATGCCTTTGTCGCCTCCTCTGTTTAAGGTGCCGCGTGTCCTTAAAGCTATCCCCTGCCCTCTTCCCTCCCTCCATTCCCACGTTTATCGTAATCAGCCCAGTACCGCCGACGCCAACATTTTTACCGACACACCATTATCAAGACAAAGCTTACCCACAGATTCGCGCACAAACTCCGTGACTTCCTCTAACCAGCGCAGTTCCTCTTCCCAATCCACCCTAGCATTTGTTTCACCAAACATCAACAACCGAAATCCTAAACCAAACACTGCGGAGGCTGGGTGAAAGGACCCCTAGAAAGAGAGGGGAGGAGAGGGAGGAGAGAGAGCAACGAATCCGATTGCGATGGTTGTGCAAGTGTGGATTTCTCAGCCCAATCGACACAAGTGAATAAACAAGCGCCACCGACGCCCAAGGGATCGGAGCCCAGGTCGGCGTGGGGCGAGCGGGGCCAAAAACTCCCCGAAAACCACAAGGCCGTCTCGTCGCCGAGGAACATCCTGCGATCACGGGCAGATTTCAAGAGAGAACATGAGCTGACTGTACAACCTTCTCCGTAGCAGTAAGAGGTAGAGGTCGGAGGAGAAGAGGAGGCGGCCGTAGGAGAGGAAGAAGAGGCCGGAGGAGAAGAGAAGAAAGGAAAAATGGAAGATAGAACGGAAGATATGAAAAAGACAATGAAGAAGGAATGCACAGAAATATATATAAAAGAAAAATTGATGGAGAAAAAACAGGGATGATGATGACGACGAAGGAAGGAGGGGGAGAAATGAGACAAGACGAATTGAAGGAGGAAAGTGGCTCTTAAAATAAGGAAGAATAGTAATACCGACAAACACACATATCTATATTCGTCATACTAAACACAGACAAAACACTAACACACTTACATAGACAGAAGGACATCTTCAAGTCCATGTTCACACACATATAAACAAATATAAACAAATGTACACATGAGCTAACTATGTAGACACATGGGTACACACAAACGAAATGAAAGAACGATAAAAGTGTAAGAAACGGGGAAGATGCGTCGAGGCGAACAGGGGAAAGGAGGGAAATCGAAAAAAAAAAAAAAAAAAAAAAAAAAAAAAAAAAAACGAAAGAGGGAAGAAGGGTAGAGACAGAGAGGGAGAGGGGGAGGGAGAGGGAGGAGCGACGGCGGTGGCGTTGATGGAGGCCGAGATGGTGGTGGTGGAGGAGGCTGCGGTATGCGGCTGGGGCGGTATGCGCGGCATGCCTGGTATGCCGGGCTCGGGAAAGGCGCGCGCGCCCCGCCCAACGCTCCACGTTCCACGCACCTCACCCCTGCCCACCCCTTGCCCACTCCTGCCACGCTCTTGCCTATGGCCCCTGCCCACCCGCCGCCACTGCTCTTGCCTATGCCCCCTGCCCACCCTTGCCCACGGCTCTTGCCTATTCCCACTGCCCACACCTTGGCCTATTCCCCTGCCCGCCCCTTGCCCAACCCCTGCCCACGCTCTTGCCTATGCCCCCTGCCCACGCTCTGCCTATGCCCCCTGCCCAACCCTTGCCCACCCTTTGCCTATTCCCCCTGCCCACATCCTTGCCCACAACCTTGCACATGCCCCCTGTCCATCCCTTGCCCACGCTCTTGCCTATACTCCTTGCCCACTCCCTGCCCACGCTCAAGCCTAAGCCCACTGCACACGCTCTTGCCTATACTCCTTGCCCACGCTCTTGCTTATGCCCCCTGTCTATGCTCTTACCTATGTCCCCTGCCCACTCTCTTGTCTATGCTTCCTGCCCTCTCCTTGCCCATGCCCCCTGTCCACCCCTTGCCCAACACTCTAGCCTATGCCCCTTCCCACGCGCTCTGCCTATGTCCCCTGCCCACCCCTTGCTCACACTCTATTCTATGCCCCCTGCCCATTCTCTTGCCTATGCTCCCTGTCCTCCCCTTGCCCACGCTTTTGCCTATGCCCTCTGCCTACGCTCTTATCTATGCCCCCCCCTGCCGCGCTCTTGCCTGTACACCCTGCCACCACTTGCCCATTCCCTGGCCACGCTCTTGCCTATGCGCCTGCCACTCCCAACCCACGCTCATAGTGCCCATGCCCACTGCCACCCCTTGACCACGCTTTTGCCTATGCCCCCTGCCTACGCTCTTACCTATACCCCCCTCCCCCACCCCTTTTCCACTCCCTGTCCACGCTCTTGCCTTGCCCAATGCCTACACCTTGCCAATCCTCCAACTCCCCCAGTCCTCCACCACCGGTCCTCCACACTCCAGCAGCAGCCTCTTCCAGCGTCGCCAAGCCAAGCTCGCCTCGGCCTCGATGCGCCACGGACACCAGCGCGAAGGGAGGGAGGAAGGGAGGGAGGAAGGGAGGGAGGAAGGGAGGGAGAGGGAGGAAGAAGGAGAAGGGGAGGGAGGGAGGAAGGAGAGGGGGAGGGAGAGGGAGGAAGAAGGAGAGGGGGAGGGAGGGAGGAAGGAGAGGGGAGGGAGGAGGGAGAAGGAAGGGAGGGAAGGAGGGAGAAGGAGGGGGAGGGAGAAGGAGAAGGGAGGAAGGAGAGGGAGGAATAAGGAGAGAAGGACAGGTAGGGAGAAGGAGAGAGGGAGAGGGACGGAAAGGGAAAAATGAGAAAAAGGAAGAGGGAAAGGAGAGAGGAGAGAGGGAAAGGAGAAGGNAAGGGAGGGAGGAAGGGGGATGTGGTGGAGGAAGAGAGGGAGGAAAGGGAAGGGAGGGGGATGTGGTGGAGGAGAGAGGGAGGAAGGGGGAGTGGGGAGGGGAAGGAGAAAGAGAGGGGGGGAAGAGAGGGAGGAAGAGAGGGAGGAAGGAAGGGAGGATAGGGAGGGAGGAAGGGGGATGTGGTTGGAGGAAGAGAGGGAGGAGGGAGGAGGAGGGATGTGGTGGAGGAAGAGGGGGAAGAGAGGGAGGGAAGGGGGATGTGGTGGAGGAAGAGAGGGAGGGAGCGGAAGGAGGAAGAGAGGGAGGAAGAGGAGGGAGGAAGGGGGATGTGGTGGAGGAAGAGAGGGAGGAAGGGAGAGGAGAGAGGGAGGAAGGGGAGTGGGGGAAGAGAGGGAGGAAGAGAGGGAGGAAGGGAGGGAGAAGGGGGATGTGGTGGAGGAAAGAGAGGGAGGAAGGAGGGAGGAAGAGGGGAGAAGGGGGAATGTGGTGGAGGAAAGAGAGGGAGGAAGAGAGGGAGAGAAGGGGGATGTGGTGGAGGAGAGAGGGAGGAAGGGAGGGAGGAAAGAGAGGGAGGAGAGAGGGGAGGAAAGGGGGAGTGTGGTGGAGGAGAGAGGGAGGAAGGGAGGGAGGAGAGGGAGGAGGTGTGGTGGAGAAGGGAGGGAGGGAGGGAGGAAGAGAGGGAGGTCAGAGAGGAGGAAGAGAGGGAGGAAGAGAGGGGAGAAGGGGGATGTGGTGGAGGGAAGAGAGGGAGGAAGGGAGGGAGGAAGGGGGATGTGGTGGAGGAAGAGAGGGAGGAAGGGAGGAGAGGGAGGGGGGAGGAAGGGTGGATGTGGTGGAGGAAGAGAGGGAGGAAGGGGGGATGGTGGAGGAAGAGAGAGGAAGGAGAGGGAGGAAAGGGGATGTGGAAGGAGGGAGGAAGGGAGGGAGGAAGGGGGATGTGGTGGAGGAAGAGAGGGAGGAAGGGAGGGAGGAAGAGAGGGAGGAAGAGAGGGAGGAAGGAGGGGAGAAGGGGATGTGGTGGAGGAAGAGAGGGAGGAAGGGAGGGAGGAAGGGAGGGAGGAAGGGGGATGTGGTGGAGGAAGAGAGGGAGGAAGGGAGGGAGGAAGGGGGATGTGGTGGAGGAAGAGAGGGAGGAAGAGGGAGGAAGAGAGGGGAAGAGAGGGAGGAAGGGGAGGGAGGAAGGGGGATGTGGTGGAGGAAGAGAGGAGGAAGGAAGAGGGAAGGAGAGGGAGGAAGAGAAGGAAGAGGAGGAGAGAGGGAAGGAAGGGAGGGAGGAAGGGGAAGGGGATGTGGTGGAGGAAGAAGAGGGAGGAAGGGGAGGGAGGAAGGGAGGGAGGAAGAGAGGGAGGAAGAGAGGGAGGAAGGGAGGGAGGAAGGGGGATGTGGTGGAGGAAGAGAGGGAGGAAAGGGAGGGAGGAAGGGTGGATGTGGTGGAGGAAGAGAGGGAGGAAGAGAGGGAGGAAGGGGGGATGTGGTGGAGGGAGGAGAGGGAGGAAGGGAGGGGAGGAAAGAGAGGGAGGAAGGAGGGAGGAAGAGTGGTGGAGAGGAGGAGGATGTGGTGGAGGAAGAAGGGAGAGAGGAGGAAGAGAGGGAGGAAGGGGGATGTGGTGGAGGAAGAGAGGGAGGAAGAGAGGGAGGGAGAGAAGGGAGGAAGAGAGGGAGGAAGAGAGGGGAGAAAGGGGGATGTGGTGGGGGAAGAGAGGGAGGAAGGGGTGGAGAAAGGGGATGTGGTGGAGGAAGGGGAGGGAGGAAAGGGAGGGAGGAAGGGAGGGAGGAAGGGGGATGTGGTGGAGGAAGAGAGGGAGGAAGGGGGATGTGGTGGAGGAAGAGAGGGAGGAAGGGAGGGAGAAAGGGGATGTGGTGGAGGAGGGAGAGGGAGGAAGGGAGGGAGGAAGATGAGGGAGGAAGAGAGGGAGGAAGGGGATGTGGTGGAGGAAGAGAGGGAGGAAGAAGGGGAGGAAGAGAGAGGAGGAGGAATGGGGGATGTGGTGGAGGAGAGAGAGGGAAGGGAGGAGAAGGGATGTGGTGGAGGAAGGAGGAGGGGGAGGGAGGGGGAGGGAGGGAGAGGGAAGAAGGGAGGGAGGAAGGGATGGAGGAAGGGGGATGTGGTGGAGGAAGAGAGGGAGGAAGGGAGGGAGGAAGGGAGGGAGGGGGAGTGGTGGGGAGAGAAGGGAGGGAGAAGGATATGTGGTGGAGGAAGAGAGGGAGGAAGGGAGGGAGGAGGAGGGAGGAAGGGGATGTGGTGGAGGAAGAGGGAGGAAGGAGGGAGGAAGGGTGATGTGGAGGGAAGAGGGAGGAAGGGAGGGAGGAAGGGTGGATGTGCGTGGAGGAAGAGGGAGGAAGGGAGGAGGAAGGGTGATGTGGTGGAGGAAGAGAGGGAGGAGGGAGGAAGGGGGGGAGGGAGGAGGAGGGAGGAAAGGGTGATGTGGTGGAGGAAGAGGGCGGAAGGGTGATGTGGTGGAGGAAGAGAGGGAGAAGGGGTGGAGGAAGGCGGGAGGAAGGGGTGATGTGGTGGAGGAAGGGAGGAAAGGGTGGTGGTGGGGGAAGGGAGGGAGGAAGGGAGGGAGGAAGGGTGATGTGGTGGAGGAAGGGAGGAGGAAAGGGTGATGTGGTGGAGGGAAGGGGAGGGAGAAGGGATGGGAGGAAAGAGGGAGGAAGGGAGGGAGGAGAGAGGGAGGAAGGGAGGGAGGAAGGGAGGGAGGAAGGGGGAGGTGGAGGAGGAAGGGAGGAAGGGAGGGAGAGGAAGAGAGGGAGGAAGGGAGGGGAGGAAGAGAGGGAGGAAGGGAGGGAGGAAGGGGGATGTGGTGGAGGAGGAGAGGGAGGAAGGGAGGGGAGGAAGGGGTGAATTGTGGTGGAGGAAGAGGGAGGAAGGAGGGAGGAGAGGGGATGTGGTGGAGGAGGAGAGGGAGGAAGGGGGATGGGGTGGAGGAAGGGAGGAGAAGAGTGAAGGGAGAAGAAGGAGGAGAGGAGGAAGAGAGGAGGAAGGGTGATGGGTGATGATGTGGTGGAGGAAGAAGGGGGGAGGAGGGGAGGAAAGGGGGAGGAAGGGTGATGTAATGGAGGAAGATGGAGGAAGAGAGGGAGAATGTGGTGGAGGAAGAAAGAAGGAGATAAAAAAAGATGTGGTGGAGCAAGAAGGGGATGAGAAAGAGAAGAGGGGGAAGAGGATGAGACAGGAGAGCAAGGGTGAGAGACAATGCGGTAGAGGAAGGAGGGGAGGGGAAGAGTGACGTGGTGGAGAGAGGGTGGGAGTAAGAATACAGATTTGGCGAAGGGGAAGAGGGAGGGAGCAGGAGAAGTAATAGGGGCGAAGGGAAGGGAGGAGGAAGGGCTTTTGCCACCCCACCCCCGGACGCCAAGGGGGGGGGTGGCACGCGGGCCGGTGGAGTGCCGCGAGTGCCAGCGTTTTCGGTCTGGACTGAGTTGCTTAGTGGATAAATATATGAATATATTTACACATACACACACACACACACACACACACACACACACACACACACACACACACACACACATATATATATATATATATATATATATATATATATATATATATATATATATTATATATACATATATATATATTATATATATATATATATATATATATATATATATATATATATATATATATATATATATATATATATATATATATATATGTGTGTGTGTGTGTGTGTGTGTGTGTGTGTGTGTGTGTGTTATATATATATGTATATATATATATATGTATGTATATATATATATATATATATATATATATATATATATATATATATATATATATGTACATATATACATATTTATACACACACACAACACACACACACACACACACAACACCACACCACACACACACACCACACATATATATATTATATATATATATATATATATATATATATATATATATATTATTATATACATAGACACACACACATACACACACACACACACCACACACACACACACACACACACACACACACACACACACACACACACACACACACACACACACACACACACATATATATATATTATATATTATATATATATATATATATATATATATATATATATATATATACAACGCACACACGCACGCGCGTGCGCACACACACACACACCACACACACACACACACACACACACAACACACCACACACACACCACACACACACACACACACACACACACACACACACACACACACACACACACACACACACACACACACACACACACACACACACACACACACACACACACACATACACACATGTATGTATATAGATATGTATATTTATTATAAATAAATGTATTTACAGACCTATATATATATATATATATATATATATATATATATATATATATATATATATATATATATATATATATATATATATATTATATATATATATATATATATATATTATATAT